TCTAGGGGAAATATAATGTCAAATGGCTTAGCAAGATCCTTCGTTATGCCGAAAATATTGCAGCATTAATTTTGAAATCAATATATTGTAAAGTTGAGGATTAATGTTAAGGATTATGTTAGACGAAAACACGATTTCGTAAAATTTCTCGATAGAAAAAAAATCCAAAGTTACCTCCAAAATAAACAATAAACCGCTGTTATTCATTATATACTTTAATTAAGATCATGAAACTTTGCATACTAACTTAACTAACTATAAAGCAGTGCTTATGTTATTTACTTTTTTTTAAAATACCATTATTTTTACTGTAAAAAAGAAATTACCTAAACTATTGGCCTTTTTGAAGCGTGATTCTTGCAGGACGGTCACTACCTACGCCTCGGCCTTTGGACGGGGAGGTTGTGTCGCTTACGATCAGAATATACATTACGCAACAGTACGACGTAAAATTAAAATGGGAAATAACCGTGATAAAAATAAGAAGCGGCTGGCTTGGCGTTAAGAAACAGGAATAAATATGATAAACCTAATGAAATAAGTGTCTAACGACCTTTCTACTTACAGTATTAGTGATTACAAACATGTCGGTACATAGCATACGACGCGCGGGCAAGTGGGGACGAATTAGAATTTGAGCTGACTTACTCTATCTCCTACTTAACCCGTAAGCCAATTTAAATAACTTTTCCGGCAATATTTGTTGCTCAACGTAGACAAGGTTTGTAAACAATAGAAATCTGAATTTGTCTAAAAGATATAAAAAAATAACCAAAAACTAAATTATCTATGGGAAAACACATGTAAAGCAAAAGCGTACGCTTTTGTAATAATTATTGAGAAAAGAATTAATTTAAAACAATTGGAATGTGATTGAATCTTTTGTTGAAATAAAGATAGTTATAAGTTTAGACTTTTACTCCGCTCCGTTTATGATGCCAGCAAAAGGTTTTAGCATCTGCATCGGCCCTGGTACTTATAAAGCTGTCTTTTATTTATGTATGAAAAGAAAAAGAAAACGGGAAGTCTACTGTTATAAATAATTATTAGTTCATTATAGGAATGAAGTGTAGTGTAGTGAAATCACCACTTTAGTCTAGCGTCAACCTCACGCGGAAGAAAAACGCAATTCCTGCTAAACATAATGAGCGGATCGGAGCGTTTCGAATTCAGTTAATGATAATAAAACGATTAATGGAGCTAATATTATGTATTGTTCATACATCATAATGCACTAGCAACAAGACATTACAGGCTATAAAGATACAAAACTAATTACAACTTAAGGGCTATATTATTATTGTTCAGAGCAAACGGTTGTGGAAATAAATCGACATACCTGTGTCAAGGTGATATCGCAATTGATAATAAATATTTATTAGATTTATTCAATTGTGTCTATGTCGGAAATTAATACTATAGAATAGAATATTTATAGGAAGTAATGAAATATAAAATAATTTTTATAAATAAACCATATTGCACACATTTATAAAGTCAATCTAAAAGAGGAAAGTTATTGGTTTCGTCTATCTTCTTATAATGTCTTACGTACTGTCGTACGTAATTTGGTCATCTAGTAAATATGGTCACTTTCTTACAACTCAAAAACTACAGCTTTATGCCTCTGTGATACGATAGCTCTTCATCAGTAAATCAAATAATAAAGGGTCAAAAGGCAATGATATTATAAGTAAAAGGGCCTCTTTTTCTTATAATATCATGCTGGCGCTGCTTTATCGATGCCATTTTGACAGTTGATATTATAGTACATATTTTAGTCGATTTTAGTATGAAGTAGTGTAGTTAGTTTTTTTATTAAGTTGATTTTTCGAAGTGTTCATAATGATTGACACAGCTTGTTTGCTAGTTTTTTCTTAAAATATAGTCCTATAGACCGAATTTCGGTGCGTGGGCAGGATTATAGTGCCCAAGTGTATGCGCAAGCACAGGTGCACTCTCTATTCCCTTACTCTCATAATCCGATGGGACGGTAAACCGACACGACCGGTAAGAGATCAGGCGCAGAACCAACGGCTTAACGTGCTTTCCGAGGCATGGGATGGGACACCACCAACTTCCTGACTCCGGGCAGCTACTGAGAATTTCTGGACAGAAAAACTCAATAACTGATTTTTTCGCCCGACCCGGGATTCGAACCCAGGACCTCATGATCAGCAGTCGCACTACTACAACCACTAGACCAACGAGGCAGTCAGCAGTTTCTTACAATATTAGTTATAGTTTACGACTTTGTGTTTTTGTCTCTGTCCTTCTCCTAGTTTTGGTTTTATAGGGCGGCAAAGCTTAAGGTGACCGTACTACCATCACGTACCCTAAATACAAAAATCAATTACTGTCCGTTAGTCTCGCTGTAACTCGAAAATGGCTCGAACGATTTTGACGAATTTTTTGTGTCTTTGAGTGGGTCCCTGGATGGTTTGAAAATTCAATTGGACACCGGTAGGTGGCGCTGTTGTCGAAATCCAGAAATCACCCGTGCGAAGCCGGGGCGGATCGCACGTATATTAATTATAATTGGAATTACCAATTCTGCATGTGGAATATTATTTATTCTGTGCTGTGGATTTTATTTCATAAAGTCTTTTAAGGTTTTTGTACTCAAAGAGTGAAATGGAGCCCTATTATGTTACTTTACTGTTTATCTGTCTGTCTGTCTGTTCGCCTATGCGTCGGTATGTCGCGGATATCTAGCGTAGACGGAATGTGTTACAGATAGGGCTTAATTTACCCACAGGCTAAATAGGCTGGAGTCTAGGGCGCAAGGTTCGAGAAGGCGCTGAGCTTGCCTTTGCAAGCACCACTTATGGTTATAATATTCTCAATAAATAATAAAGAGTGTCGCAAGTATTTTACTTGTTGCTCTTTCTTTATTTTTAGCACAAAATAAATGAATAGGTTGTAAAAATAAGATTTTGAATTCGTCTTTCGTTGACTGACTCGTGATTCAAAGATTTTAAACTGCTCAAGCTCTCTTCTCTACTTCTAATTATATTAAGGTGGTTTGTCAAAGCTTTCCAAGGGAACTTCTGTCAGTCATCTGTTCCATACTGCACAGAGAGACCGACACACTGGCCCATGTCGCAAAGGAGAAATTCGTTCTTTTATGTTCTCTTTTTCAGTTCAACTCGACTCTCGACGACGGGGGATACCGACAACGTGGGATGCCACGGTGTGATTGCTCCATGCTAGATGTGCGGTTTACACAACACTCATTGTGCATAACATTCCCCTTCTTGGACGTCTACAAGTCGAGTGGGCCTGATGGATCCCTCAAATAGTGCTGAAGACGGGTGCTTTGAAGTTAGCACCAGGTTAAACGTGACTTTTTCAGTACTACTACTCCCTAGGCACAATCCTGAACTTATGGAAGACAAATTTAGTGCACCCGATCCCTAAAAAGGCAACCGCTCAGACCTGTCCAACTACAGCCGTATCAACATCGCACTCCTTGTTCTCCAAAATAAGAGAATCCATTATAAACTGCCAGCTTATAAGGTACTTTGAGGACCACAGCTGATTAGTATATTACTGCACTAATCAGCTGGTTCTAATTGCAATCTTCTAATTTTCCTGACTTATAGATGAGCGGAAGCAGCAGAGTCCAAGAGGGAGGCCTTGGTCGTCAGTTTGAAGTTAGCTAAGGCCTTCGATGGGCTTTGGCACAAAGTTCTTTATAAGCTTCATTTCTATGTGCTTTCTGAGAAATTGTGCAATTGGATCATCAGTTTTCTTACAGATCAGAGAATTAGGGTCGTAGTAGAGGGTGCATACTTTGACTACGAGCCTATTAATGCTAGTGTTCCACAAGGCTGCGTGCTGTCACCTACGCTATTTCTTCTGTATGTCAATTACACGTTGCTGTTACTGGTTGTAACAATAGTGATGCTTTTTACACCAGCTGCGCTAACATTTCTTAGGAAGACGTCATCGAGTATCGAAACAAACTTGTGTTTCAAGTGGAGTCTTTTAATAAACAGTCTCGAATTGGGGACGATTCTGGTCTAGTTTAGAAGACACGGGTTTCCGCAGTTTAAAAAAAAAACTCCTTTGTCATATTCTCCTCAATTTTAGGGCACTCCCCGTGCTGCCTCAGCCAGAATCGTAAACATATGAAGAGTTCAATTTACGGTCACTTGGAAGGGAGACGAAATTGCTCTCTAAAAAGCATGACTTGCTCAGCAGAGCGGGACAGTATTTCATGCCGGCACACCGTTTGCTACTTTACAAGGCGTAAATTCACCCTCACATGGAGTACTATTCTCATCTCTGGACTGGGGTACCCCAGTGACAGCTCTTTTCCAGAAGGCATTTGAGTCTGACTGCATCCAGCGAAGAGTGGCTCGAATCCCCAACGACCAAGTTCTTTCTGATTGGCTCTATTCAATGGCGCTGCGAAGATATGTTCTACCCCACTGCATTTTCTATACCATTTTCCACGAGGAGCACTTAGACAAATTGTTCAGTGTATTTCCAGCCGCCAAATTCCACCAACGCACATCGGGACAAAACTTACCATCCACACCATCTGCGATTTATTAGGAGGTTTCTTGCTTACACGACTTTTTACAAGAACCGAGCTTACTCTTTTTGAAAAGCAATTCCCCTGATGTTGCAGTAGTTTATGGGTGAAGGTGGAGACTTACTATCAGGAAAATTTGATTTAATATGGGGTACAAAGAAAAATTTTTTCTTATAATTTTAATATTAATATTTAGTAATATTTAATTTATTCTATTCGATCAATTACATAATATGTTAATGTAAAATTAAAAAAAAAATATCAGTGCCATAGGCTTCTATTCCGTTCACCTGCTTATTTTTTTCAGGTGGTAAGAAATCACCCAGTATAAGCACGTCATAAACGTGCACATCGATAAATTATCGGTATTGCGTGGTCATAAAATATAAGAGACGAATTTCAACCACTGAAGACTACTAGTATTAGTTAATATTTATATATAATAACCAATACTTACTCAGATTCTTCACAAAGGACCCTCATAAGTCCTCGCCCCCTCCAGTCGGAGTGTGTGGACGCTATCCGGACCTCCATGACAGTGTGGCACTCCTTCGGAAGCTTGTCCCAGATGCGAGCCTCGCGGTCCAGATGCCCCAAAAGCTTGAGAATCCGTTTGAATTTTGGATGGGGACACTCTTCAGATTTGTCCGTGTAGTCGACTTCCTGTGTAAATGATTAATTTGACATCATTGCATGTTTTACTGTTTTTGGTTAGAAAAAAAAAGAAACGATAGGCATAACTTTTATTGGAAGTAATTTAGAAAATATACGAAAGATATTTGCAAAGTATAGAAAATAGATCTTTGCAAATTATTTTGGTATGAGTGCTTACACCTGAAATCCTTGATTATTATGATAGGTTGATTAATACCCAGTGTTCAATGTTCCTTGGTTCCTTAATATAATCTATTATAATTACAATATATAAAGCTACTGGACATAAAAATAAAATACTTTTCTGAAAGGACATAAAGCCAACAACAACACAAAGAGAAACGGAACTTCATGATGTAATCTCTTAAGACGGTTAAGTAAGAAGTCAAAATTAGCGACTTCTCCTTTCCTGCATTTTTAATTTCTCGCTAATTCCCGTTTCATAGCGACATTTTCTTCACAGTTTCGGTCTTTACTTCTTTCTTTCTTTCATAAATTGAAATTCCTTTTTACTTAAGGTTGTCTGGAAGGGCAACGCCTTAAGATGTGTCCCTTTGTTATTTTTGTGCAACTAAATATAAATGAATAAGTGAGCACATGGAATTTCGATTAATAATTTTAGGCGAAAATACTCGGCATTTAGTAATTTTTTAAAAAATTTTTAATATTATGATTATTATTACATTGTATATTCGTAACTGGCGTGTTGTGACGGCGTAAAAGAATCCACAACCATTCCATTTATATCATCTCGTGGGTGTCGTAAGAGGTGAAAGAGGAAATGCGAGCCAGTAGATAGTAGAATTTTCATGAGTACAGAATAATAAGATACTTTTGCCAATCCCAGGCAACTATGGCAAATATCCCCCAATAAATCTATTGGGGAGGTCTCTGTTTAGCAGTTGACTTATGTGATTGCTGTGATGATGCTGATGAAGATGATTATAAAATATTATCGCATATATTTACTGTAGGCTTAATATCTATTACAACCTTTTACCAATAAAGTATACTACGAAATATAATTAAGAGTTAATCACACGTAAATCGACGATGCGAAACCGACACCAGTAGAGCGTGCACAAAAACCTTTCAGTTCTCAAATTTATGTACCAATTACCCAAGAACCAGCTAGTTAGATGCCGTCTGCGTAATTAAAAATAATTAAGATAATATAATTAATACCGCGATTGAATCTAGCATGAAAGGAAATCAGATAACCATTTATTGAAAAAAAAAACGCAAATTATTTTTCTAGTTGATTTAGTGATTGTACCTAATATGTTTATTAACCGAATTCAAAAAGGTGGAGGTTCTCAATTCGTGACTATATTCTTTTATTGTATGTAAGTTACGCGATATATTCGCAGATTGTGAACCGATTTTAATAATTCTGTTTTTATTAAATAGGCTTTACCGCAAGGGTGGTCCAATTAAATTTGGAAGAAAAAATTCCGCCTCCAAGGGATGAAAATGGAGGGAAAAGTTTTATACTGGACTATTATAATATCTTCGCAGATAAGCAACCGATTGTAATGATTCTTTTTGTCTTAAATATGTTATATTTCAAGGGTGGTCCCATATAAATTTGGAGAAAAAATGTCACCCTTAAGGGTTGCAAATAAACAACTTCTTATTTAGCAATTTGAAGTCGGTTTTTACTTTTTCTTAAAAGTTATAATTATAGCGGTGTGTACCAAGCCTATTTATCTTATAGAATAAACATTACTTCTCGTGCGTGTTAGCTCAAGAGAATCTATCACCCCATATCGTCTCGTGGATGTCGTCATGGGCGACTATGGAATATGACAAAAAGTTCTAGTAGTTTCCGATAGATGGCGGTATTACCATCTCGTTTGTTACGCTTACGTACGTGCTTACGTACTTAGCGTAGAGGCGGCACTTTCTCATACTATTTAAAAATGTATTTATTGCTTTTCGAAGTATCCTCCGCGAAATTTGACACATTTTTCCATACGATGGAACCAATCATTGAAGCAACCATTCCATTCGGAAGTGGGGGACTCCAAAATGGCCGTTTTGTAGACGTCCACGGCTTCTTCAGGTGATGAAAATCTCTGTCCACGCAAATTATTCTTTATTTTAGGGAAAGTATAGAAATCATTAGGGCTTAGGTCGGGGCTGTACGGTGGATGGTCTAATAATTCTATGTTTTCTTGCTCTAAAAATTCTTTTGTTCTGTGTGCGGTGAAAGAACTCGCATTGTCGTGATGGAGGATGATGCGGCGGTTGCAGTTCTCTTTGCGGAGTTCAGAAACGGCCTGTGGCAAACAAATGCTAGCATACCATTCTGGTTCGTACCTAATTCTGGTTTTACACCTAATTGTTCATGCAAGATTATTTGTATTTGACTCATGCCAATGTCTAAAGTTGCCTGAATTTCGCGGTATGTCACATGTCGATCTTCCTCAATCAGCTTACGCACAGCATCAACGTTTTCTTGGGTGACTGCAGTTTTTGGACGACCTTGACGGGGATCATCACTAAGCTTGACACGTCCACGTTGAAATTCAGCAAACCATCGATAAATTGTGGTTTTGGATGGGGCATCATCACCAAATGCAGAAATCATCCGGTCAACACACTATTTTTGTGTTAAATCACTTCGAAAGTCATAATAAATCATCGCTCTTGAATTTTCTCGAGTCAATTCCATTTCCACAACGACTAAACAAGTTTGACAAAACCTTGTGACAAGACCGAGAATCTTTTTTAAAATAAATAAGTGGTATTCGATTTTTAAAACCAAGGAGTTTTCAATTAAAATTTTTTTTAATATGACAGGAACAGTGGAAATATTCCATTCCCGATACTTTTAGTGCAGCATAGTTCATAAAAAATAGCTTGATCTCTGCGACAGCTGTCAGTAAAATCACGCCTATGAAGTCCTGAATTTCTTATACTAGTACAGACAGTACCTGTCAATGTCATACTTTATGGCCATGTCGACCTAATTAGTTCATGCCCATAAAGTATGAAATTGACAGGTACTGTCTGTACTAGTATAAGAAATTCAGGACTTCATAGGCGTGATTTTACTGACAGCTGTCGCAGAGATCAATCTATCTTTTATGAACCATAGTACTCATAACAGCGATGGCAAGCACCGTGCTGCGGTCGTCAATTTGTTTGTCAACTGTGACGATCTCCGTCGTAGTCGGTCTCCTCGTCGTCCGTAGGACTTTCTATCTGCCTATGTCTGTATTTCATTATTATACAGTTTTTCACAAGTCTGGTGCTGGTCTTAGGCCTACCCAAGAAATACCACAAAACACGGTCCTAAGCCACATGCATCCAACGACTTCCTGCATGACGTCATTCAAGCTAATCGGATAAAGAAAAAGAAATCCCAGACGCTACGTCATGTGTAGTACCAGCCGTCTTATTCTGCAAGTATAACACAGAGGTTATCAACTTCTGCACGTTGTAAAACTCGACTGATTAAAAGGCAGCAACTGGGTTAGTTACATTTGCGTACTTTGTTAAAAGTAAAGCATAAAATTATATGTTACTAAAAAACTTAACGCGTCGCCTTCTTTAGAGTTATATATTTTAATTGTTTCTAGTGCAAATTCACACATTTTTTAATTTTATTTTTAAGTCGCTAGTAATTTTGATGAATTCTTCCATCAAAGTGGGTACCCGGGTAACCGGGGTTCCACCAAACTCTAACAATGAAATAGTACCCGTAATATAGTACTAAAAAATTCATATACCCTGTGTACCCGGATCCTCTTTCGATCTCGATTTCGATCGGATCGACTTTTTTATAGCATTGGGTGACAAACGAGCATACAGTGCATCCACCTGATGGTAAGTGAATGCTGAGGCCCATAGACATCCATATTTATCTTCAACTAAGGATCAAAACGCAAATGCGTTGTCACCCCCGAGGTAGTCCTCGAGATTTAATGCCTCGATTCCAGGAAAAAGGGTCACTGGTTCTCTACACTACACCATACGAAACACAGCCCATTATATTGCTATTTTACGCTAGTATTGTGTGGTGAGAGCGTGGTCCTGCCCCGGTCGAGGCGACCCATTCGTGCTATCACTATAATATAGCTGTAACTTCGCTCTACCACGTACAAAATATCAATAAAATATTAATAGCATCTAAATTACCGTGTAGTGGCGATGTAAGAATATCATCCACTACCCCATATCGTCGCGTGGGTGTGGGAGATGATAGAGGAACAATCAAACTGGAGACGGGCAGCCGCATCTTCCTGATAACAACTCAAAATAATAAAAAGCTGCGGTTGTCAACCCGCTTACGTGGCAACTATGGCAAAACCCCCATGAGTCAATCTATGATGGACGCCTATGTTCAGCAGTGGACTTTTATGGGCTGTTAAGGATGGACGGAGCATGTAAATAACCCCCTCAGCATAAAGCACTTAATTCAACAAAGACTGACATTAAATTGACATTATATAAGGAAGTTGTTTTTATTTTATGTTACAAACAATAAAAAAGTAATTTCTCATTGGAAGTTGATATTAAAACGAAATTTACTTTGTGAAAGGCGAAAGACCTTGTGAAATTTTCCCCGGGATTTTGCTATTTGCTAAAGGAAACACTTATCGATTTCCCGCCATCCGTCGCCGACTCAAGTGCCTTACGAAATAAACATCTCGGAGTTTGTAGAGATGTTTATTCAAATAAGTAAGATATATAGGTACCGAAAGTAAACGAAAATGAACAATGCTTGCTTTTTGTATGCTTATGTTATAGAATGAATGGATTCATTGAATGATAAAACATTAACATGAAAGATATAAAAAATAACGTTATGTCAAGCAAAGATCAAGTTATAATTAAAACGATATCTTGTCTGTTTGTTCACAGTTTCTCCAATGTATACATACACTGAATAAATTTCAAAATTTAATATTAAAAGTTAAAGTAACAGTCTATACACGTCCCACAGGCGGACAAAGCTCTTCCCTCATTTAACATCTTTATTCTGTGATGTTAGTGCTGTTGGCCTGGGCCTCAAGCTGAGTCATTTAACATTACTCTCTATAGCTCTCTACAGCACTCCTCTGATTTAACATTAGATCATCATCATCATCATTACAGCTCTTCACAGGTCCACTGCTGAACATAGGCCTCCCCTAAGGAATGCCACAAAGCACGGTCCTGAGCCACCTGCATCCATTGACTTCCTGCATGTCTTACCAGGTCGTCACTTCATCTAGTGAGGGGGGCCCTACACTTCGCCCACCGGTTCGAGGCTGCCACTCGAGAACCTTTTTCCCCACCGGTTTTCGGTTCTTTGAGCAATATGGCGGTCCATTGCCACTTCAGCTTACTAACATACTATTCTGTTGGGTTATGTCGGTCACTCTGGTTCTACTGCGTATATCCTCATTCCTAAGTTTATCAAGCAGAGAAGCCCCAAGCATAGCGATCTCCATAGCTCGCTGAGCGACCTCGAGCGTCCTCATACGACCAGCATTGAACATTAGGTACATGATAAAAATTTATCAAAATCTATAATACTCCAATTACATACATAAAATAGTAATTATTATATAAATTATATTTTTTAAAATAATATTAAGGGGAAATATAACCTCAAATGGCTTAGCAAGATCCTCCGTTATGCCGAAAGTATTGCAGCATTAATTTTGAAATAAATATATGGTAAAGTTGAGGATTAATGTTAAGGTTTATGTTAGACGAAAACACGATTCCGTAAAATTTTCTCGATAGAAAAAAAAATCCAAAGTTACCTCCAAACTGAACAATAAACCGCTGTTATTCATAAAATACTTTAAATAAGATCATGAAACTTTGCATACTAACTGAACTAACCATAAAGCAGTGCTTATGTTATTTACTTTTTTAAAATATCATTATTTTCACTGTAAAAAGAAATTACCTAAACTATCGGCGCGTAAGCTTTCTATCGAGAAAATTTTACGGAATCGTGTTTTCGTCTAACATAAACCTTAACATTAATCCTCAACTTTACCATATATTTATTTCAAAATTAATGCTGCAATACTTTCGGCATAACGGAGGATCTTGCTAAGCCATTTGAGGTTATATTTCCCCTTAATTACATTTATTTAAAGATTTCAAACACCTGAAAAATCAAAACTAACGTATAACAATTATAAATAAAAATGTAATGTGTATAATTTTTTCACCAAGTTAATTTTGGCCTTTAACCATGTATTTTTTTTATTAAGCTGAAGTGGTTTTTTTTTACAAAACTGAAGTGACACGCGAACTTCTAGTCCATTTAATTGTATGCGTTATCACCTCTGAGCACTATTATAGTAAACCTCACAGCCTGTAATTATTCTGACTGTAATTTTCGGACTGGAACAGGACAGGAAGGTAGGTAGGTATTTTCTCTTAATTAAAGCTGAGCCTAAGTAACTCAAGGGCAGAGCGCTTTTTCGCGCAACCACTCCGATTTAGAACGCTGACACTAATCAAATTTTTAATAATGATTTGCATGTGTAAATTTATCACTTGATATGCAGTAAAATAAAAAATCGTTAGGAAAGTTGCACGTTTGAGAAATATATTTTGCGAAAATCTGAAGCCCGATAAAATGCTATGGAACAGCGCGGTTGGCATCAATAAGTGACCTAGGCGTAAGTCTCCCCTTATTTATTTAGAATAGGAACTGTGTGATGAGCGTACACCGGGGCAGTGTTCGGTGTTTATCACAAAAACAGGCTCTTGTATTTTAGTGTCCTGAGTGGTGGTCAAACAAAATGCACGTCGCTATGCTCGGCTTGCCGAACTCTCTAAAGCAAACGCCTCCCTTTATTTGTAAGAAAAGCTTAGGTATTTACCTACTGGGCCCTATGTACTTTCCTTTCCTTAATTTCCTAGAATCTTAATCAAGAGTTAGTTTGCTTCCTAAGCTCATGAAAAATTTATTAAAAAAAACATTTTAATTAATCGTTTTATATTATTTATTTACGATTCACACCTGCGCGGAAGTAGCAGTAAAAATATTATATACGGAGCTTCGCAGCTTATATTATTATGCGATCCGTGTTCTGTACGATCTCGTGATGTCGCATAAGGTTGGCAAATAAAATAAGCGTGATGGCGCCGGTTTTTCACGATGTTGCCAACAAAATAATTACTGACAGATTGACTGAATAATCTGTCAATCAGGGTTCCTGAATAAGATAATTTCCTTCTAAACTTAGGAGTAGATAAGTGCAATAGGATTTTGTTTATGGACTTTTATATTTTTTTCCACTTTAGCTGATTTTGTTTATAAGTTTAAAATGATTGCGGCGCAGTTTGCTGTAAACCTTTCGAAACACTCAAACCGTTTGAAAATCTCAAAATTCGGGTTGTATGTTTTGCATTAATTATCAAGGTTGCAATTTCTTGTTATCCATCTATTCAAATGCTACCAAGTGTGATAAAGATCTGATTCGCATTGCAACGAAATAGCGCATCGTTTATAACATTTAATCCATTAACTAAAATTTATTTATTTATATTTTTTTATGATATATATTTTTTAATATCCGAATGTTGCAATTCTCTTAATATGTCGGAACCATCAGAAGAAAAGATGACATAATAATCATAAAGTCCCTAACCAAGGGGGGGGGGTTTTTATTTTTTTTTTTTTTTTGTTAATTTTTTTTTTATTTTTTTTTTTTTTTTTTTTGTTTAAGGGGGGGGATATAATATAATTGTTTGTTTTTTTTTAAATTGAGACTATTAAAAGTAACTATAAATCTGGAAATGTCATGTCTATATGAAAAACACAACATTACTTTTTATAAAAAGCTATATATTATTACGTTCAATATACAAAAGTAAATCTGTCGTCCTACCCAGTAGTCTACAGTAACACGTAACAAGTATCACGAACGTGCCCATACGTCCGTCCAGACTTGCACGTGTTCATTCAGTTTCACGGCAGGTTTCCTTTCATAACTTTGGCAATGCGCGCAGCTAGACCGGAATAAGCAATTAACCTTACGAACCATGAAGGAGAATTGAAGCCAGTGGCCCGAGTTTAATACTCGTACCACATAATAACACATTTTTCATCACATTAATGCCCGGGATACACGAGGCTAGATTTTAAAGCGAGGATAGAAAGCTAGTGTTAGGAATCTATCAAGCCAGTAATTCTGTCTTCGTGTATACAGAACTAGCCTAATTTCTAGGTTATTAAGCTGATGAAAAAGCTAGTAAGCTAGCATCTCAAGTTTTTGAGCCAGTGACGTCCCCCGCCTGATTTTACTGTCCTGGATTGTGTACTGTGTGGCCAGTGAAGTTAGTATCCATGTTAACCTACTTCGTAAAATCCATGGTCTCGTCCATACACGTTTATCTAAGACCATTTCTAGTAATTCGTCTAGTGCGAATCGGTACAGTTTCCGAAGTAACTGTTTCAGTTGAATTTGTTTTTTTTTTACGTATGCTGTTTATTTTGTTTCACAGACGTGTTGTACTTTAATCACTGCAATGGCACTGGCATCAATTTTCCTAGTATCATGTACACAGTACTAGCATGTACCAGGTCAGGGAATAAAAGCAGGATAGTATACCGAGGTTCCTAGCTTGCTATCCTAGCTTTAAAAACTAGCCTCGTGTAACCATGGATTGCTTTATAGCGGAGAAATTTGCACACACGCTTGGTGGGCTGGTTGCCAGCTGCAATTAACATTTTTTTGATGTTATTAAGAAGACGCTGCTGGCAATCTCATGGTTTACTTCCCTTTGGTTCCTCTTAAGGCACCCATGGGACGATATGGGATAGTGGATATTCTAACAACGACACTACATGACAATTCAGGCATTAATCATGAGGTAACAATTAACTTATTAATAATTATGAAAATTTATTAGTACTAATTTATTTGTATAGAAATCAAAAAGTTTGATAGACTCTGCTTTAGATTGGACAATTTTAATTAATGTGCATCGTTATGTCTTTTCAGGCTTTATTTATATAATTTATATATTTACGATAATTTAAAACTAAAAAGTATACATAAAGCGTTTGTGGTGTTATTTTATTTTATGCTTTAACAATAGTTATCAATAATCAGGAGTGATAAGTTGATTGTAACTTGTAACTATACCATCTTTAACTTGAATTAAAATAAAAGATCCTGGGCCTTTATTTAGGTATCTACTGTTGTTATTGTTCAAAACATTGAAAAAATTTACTAAATATTAAAATAGAAACAGATATAAAACTATAGTCAAAGTACTCGTACATAGAAGATATAATTTTATGAACGTCGCGTGTGCATGACAGATTTATGTCTGAGGTCTGTAGTTCTTTTTTTCATTTTCGGGATAGTTAATCGTCGTCTACAGTAAGGTCATAGATATTTTCTCACGAAAAGATCGATTTCTTTTACGCCTAATACGAGAGACCAGGGGTTTTCAGCTTAGAAATATGTTTTTAGTGACGTACCTCTCTCCTGGCAAGACCATTTATGACGAGACCAACAAATTCTCCATTGCCGTCCACAGCTGCAACTGATACGCCGTCGCATAGGGTGCTCGCCGCATACTCTTCTAATTCAATACATCTTGATTGCGGTGTTTCTAGCAGATTGACTGTCTGGTTCAGAGGCTCGTCACGAAAGAAGAATCTGGCGAATGATTTTTAGTTACAATACAGACATAAAGCAAGGTGATCGAAATTAGGGTAGCCCCCCACTAGATGGAGTCACGACATGGTTAGAGATGCAGGAAGTCCTTTATTTATAGAAAACTAGCTGGCCAGTCAGATGTTGTTCTGCCCTTACCCTTCCTTTAAAAAAACCCTTTAATTCGCAATAAAAAAATATAGAGGGTATTGAGATTAAAATTATCCTATTTCTCAGGTTGAACCAAACTGCACACAGTGTGCAAAATTTCATTGAAATCAGTTCATTAGTTTAGGAGTAGAATTAATAATTAATTAATAATTAATAAAAAATAGAATTACAAACAATGCGACACGTATTTTTTATATATAAAGATGGGTGACAAACGAACACGCAGTCCACCTGATGGTAAGCGGATGCTGTGGCCTATAAACATCTACATTTATCCTCGATTAAGAATCAAACCGTAACTGCGTTGTCACTCTTGAGGAATAGGATGGAATGCCTTGTATTCAGTAAAAAGGTCTCCGGTTCTCTACACTCACCATACGAAAGAAAGCAGCATTAAGCTGGTATTTTACGCTGGTAATTTGTAAGAGCGTGGTACTACCCCGCACTAAGTCAATGGACGTAGGTGGCTCGGGACCGTACTGTGTCGCATTCCTGTGTGGAGTGAACTGGTGATGGGCTGTAATGATGATGATAATGAATTGTTATGCTACAAGCAGAACAACAATTTGTTTTGCATTTTGTTATGCAACAACAATGTTTAGCTGTAAACGTGTAGTACAAGAAATTTTAACAGCTAACTCATTGTTCTAAAACAAATTGTCTAACAGTTTTTGTTGTGTAAAACGAAATTTGAACAAAACAGCATTTGTTTTTCCGATCGTTTCAACCAATTTGCTATGGAAATTTAATTACGAGGACGTTAACTTAATTCTTTGTGAACAAAAGCTTTAATCGAGATTAAGTTGAATCATTCGTACTAAAACTTTTTTATTCATTCATTACAGAGTATTTGTTATGAATGAATAAAAAAAGAGTAGTTAAAGTTAAAGAGAAGTTAAAGACCGTTACTGAATGTAAGCCTTTTTAATTGTCTCCTCGGGGGGATATTTACCATAGCATAATTGCCATGTTTGGCATAATTGAGATGATATCAGTAAGATGATGTTTCCTATCTCCTGTTTTTATTTCCCTCTGTCATCTCCCACGACACCCACGGGATGATATCATAGGGTAGAGAATTCTCTTACATCCCTACTAGACGGTATTTTAGTATCATTTCTTTTATAGTAAAGGCGGTGAAACTATAGACTAGATTCGCCAATGTCCGTTGCGTTGGTGAGTTGGAGGGTACGAAGAAAAGGGCGCATTGGAAGGAAAAGGGGAGCTACCCTCTTCCGGACGGCTGGCGCTGATGGGGCTGCGAATGTGGGTGAAATCATTTGCGTGGCTCTGCCAATATGCGGTTAAGATTTTTTTTCATATAAACCGGTTGACAAACATGCACACAGTTCACCTGATGATAAATAAATGTTGTGGCCCATAGACATTTACATCTATTCTTAATTAAGAATCATAATACAGATGGACCTACGTGGACTAAGATGGAGTGCTTTTTTACAGTAAAAAGGTTCTCCGGTTCACTTCACCCACCATATAAATCCTCACAAAATTAAATATCGTAATAGTATTAAATACCTTCTAAGGAAATCGAGAACAGCTTCCTTGTCTTGCGGGCTGAGTCTGCAGAGTGTGTAGGCAGGCTTAGACATACCCCGAGGCCGTAGTTCAAGCTCTGATAGTTTGGCTGGCAGCTCGTCCGCCAACTGGTGAACATGTGCTTACATTAATTATCATGTAATAAAAATTGAAAATATATTTAAACGAATGTTACATTTGCATAATTAGTGTTCCGCGTCCGTGCCATCAGTCTAAATTGTTAAGCTCAATTAAATTATCTTGTACTACAACTACTTCTCTAGGTGCATTTTTTTGTTACTATTCTGTAGGTGTCGTAAAAGTCTACAGAAGGAAATTGAATCAGGCAGTCTTCCTGATAACGACTTAAAACAATAAAAGAAAAACTGTCGTTATAACCTTACCAAACTTAGCAATATTTTGCCGCCATAGATTGTCTCATATTTAGGAAAATATGAGGCATTCTATGGGAAAGGTCTATTGACAGTATTGTTCAGCTATGGCTGTATTAATTGAAAAAACTGTTTTTCTTAAAATTTTCTGAACGCTATTTTTAATGATGTTGGCGGGGAACTAGAAAATGGAAAATTTTTTGAATTAAGAAGAATTTAAAATAATTTTGATATTTCACTCATTTTCTAAATTTAAATAATTTTAAATATCTAAATTCGTGATCTAAATTTAAATTTCTTTAATCGCTATTATAATATTTTATTATTTTCCCAAATTTCAAGCACCTACGTGAAATTGTCAATGAAAAACATGTTTACAAACATCTGACAGATAATTTTTTTTAAATTCTGGCACGGAACACAACTATTAAATACAACATTTTGTCAATATAATACCTTAAATAAATTTGTCGCAAGCTGGTCATCTTAGTGTCATCTATTTCCAACTTGTCATCGGTGGAGGTTTCTTTTTACGTAAATAAAGGCTCACAAGAGAGGAGATAACATATATTGTCACACACTGGCCTCGTTTTAAGTTTCTGCTATGTATATTCATATCTCGGCGCAATAGCTGAGATTGTAAATGTTTCCAAAAGCTTGTTGTATTTTCTAGATATCAATTTTTAAAATTAATAATGGCCTATAAGTTATCCGAGTCTACCTATTCCTTCGGGGATTACATATGTGAAACTATATTTGAATGGATAGTGAAAGTAAAGTTATAGCATATACATAATATGTATATGCTATTATGAGCCCACTACTGGGCACAGGGCTTCTTTAATTTCTGAGAGGGTATTAGTGCTAGAAAGTGACACCCCACAATGCTGAATGCGTGTTGGTGGACATATCTTACATTTTTTATTTCTTAGACATGCAGGATTACTCACCATGTTTTCTTTAATCATCGAGGAAGTGGTAAATCGGGAATTGAAATTGCAATTAACACGCTGGTAATGTCTAAGAAAATAAAATATATCGGAGATATGTTCAGACAATGCGTTTGCATTTTGATATCTTATAGAGGATACATGTAGATGAGTGGCAGGTGGACTGTGTGCTGTTAGAAAATATGTGGAGCGACAACTCTATCAAGAACTAGTAAAGATCTGTGCCCAGTGGTGGGACATATGAAGGCGATTACTTTAAGGATAGTGATATTTTGATGGCTGATGTCATCAACGGCTAGCACTACTGAATGGCTGGAAACTATCAAGGCAGGATATACTGCCACATGTGTCCACGCAGACGGCGCTCTCGTAATCCCTTTTTAAATAAGTAAATAAATAGGTACCTACATAAAAGTGACAATCGAGCACACAGTCCACGTGATGATAATTAAGTGCTGTGGCACATAGACTTCTACATCTATACTCGATTCAGATATATCATTGTGACTTCTGATTACGAATATGGAATGCATCGTTTCTAGTAAGACTGGTCTCAGACTGAAATATATCCGGTCCTCTACGCTCACCAAACGAAACGCAGCAGCATTCGCTGCTATTGAACATTGGTATTCTGTTGATCACCTACTTGTGACTTTCTATCGGTCACTTGCTAGTCTTACTAGTAGTCTTGTAGGTCATACGATTTTATGGAATTAAGTTAAGCTGTTCCGCCCCGCTGAGAATGCAAAGGCTGGTGCTTCAGACTGCTCGTTTTTCTGGCCAATTGGTCTCCGCGTGGCGGACTCAAGCGGCACATTTGTTTTAGCGCATTTGGTAAGGAGAAATAGTGAGAGAACTTTCTCAGGATGGAGCAAGAGGAGTTTTGCGTCGATGGCAGTTTGTATGTGTACAAAAGTGTTCCGGTAGCCCTGTCGATTTGAGACAGAGCCACCGGAAACTACACCCAGTGGAGGGTACACATACGCAGTTCCCCATGAAAAAAATGAGTAAAGCACAATACAATTCGATGGCCATAACATATTATTTTAATAATGAACAATATTCAAATTATGTACCTACTATTACATTTATTTATTGAACAACCGTTTTAAATTATTATAAGATAAAAAAATATGTCATTGCAATGAGAAATTTATGTTCTGGTTGTATAGATATGCTAACATAAAAGTACTAGGAAGTCATCGTGTTGCAGTAAATAAATCATATACCAATACGTTCCTCCTCAATATCTCTGATATTTTTATTTGCTCTTATAAGGAATATTTCCTTTTTTATAAAAGCGGAAAGATAGCTATTAATTTCGAAAGAGATATAATTTAGACGTAACCAAGTTTGATTAACTTGTTGACTGTAAAAGTTAAGATTTAAGGAAATCCTTAAATATATTTATGTAAATGTGTTAAAGACTTGAATAGGTAGAGTTCTTACAGACGGCTATATTTCTTCTTTAGCATCTACATCTAAAAACACGCCTAGGTATATTTGGGGCTTTTGCGGGACAAACATGGAAATCTCGTGCTTGTGGATACAAAGACCAATTTGAGTCATAAGTTTTATCCTCCTTCCTTTAACACTACAATGAGGGCGACTAAGTAACTGTACTTTAGTATGCTATCATATAACATAACAAATAAATGAGTTGAATTAAGTTGAATATCTGGGGAGACGAATTAAAGAAGTATCGCTAGCCAAGAAATCCTTCTGCAATTCGTACTCATGATTAGTGTACGGATTTAATACCTTCTGAGGGAAAGTATTGAACGCAAAGACTCTTGATAGATGGTATAGATGGTATACGGTATATCCATCTCGTTTACACCGGATATTATAATATCTTTAATAAATTAACTAATTTTAATTTAATAGAAATTTTACGTGGAATATTTTGAAACGAGTAACTTTTTGAGTCTACTATAGAGTATAAAATATATAATATGTTATGGTTTTAAAGGCGTAAGTCCACTGCTGTATTTTATACGTGGTAGAGCCATGCTGCAGTTATATTAGTAGTATAGTTGTAACACGAATGGGTCGGCTCGACCGGGGAAGGACCACGCTCTCACAGAATACCAGCGTAAAATAGTAGCTTAATACTGCTGTGTTTCGTATGGTGAGTGTAGAGAACCGGAGACCCTCCTTCGGAGGGTAACAAACTTGCACACAGTCCACCTGATGGTAAGTGGTTGTTGTGGCCCATAGACATCTACATCTATCCTCGATTACGAATTAAAATGCAGATGCGCTGTGACCAGTGAGGACTAAGATGGAATGCCTCGTTTCCAGTAAAAAGGGTCTTTACTTTTATATTTTGGATTATAATAATATTTATAGTACACTGTACCCATTAATTAACTTATCAGTTATTTTTATTTCCTATTCAGGTTGTCTGGAAGAATGCTGTATAGCAATAAGACCGCCTTTTGTTTTTCTCTTGGTTTGTTTCTTATTGTGTTATTTGTTTTCTTAGTGTACAATAAAGGGCATGTATTGTATGATTCCTGGTCAATTGCATTTTATATTTTTATAGAGCGATCTCGCATGATACTGCCCAGTGTACTAAGCCCTCTTGATTGGATAGAGTTTAGGATTGGATGTTTTCACACAGCATGGTGTCATACGATGATTCAAAATGAATGCAATACCATCATAATGTAACGTGATACAAACTGACGTTAATTGTCAGTTAGTTTAACTACTAAAATGGCGTCAGCGAATCATATCTCCACATTGGGCCGGATGAAATAGTAAGTCGCTTTTTATAGATGCCTTACGTAACTGACATAATTAACGCACTTTGAGAAAGTAGTTTGTTCAGAATCGTTTACTGAATCGATTCCTATCATTTTTAATATAGGTAATTTTTTATCCCAAAGATAATTAAAACTACGTAATATATATATATATATATATATATATATATATATATATATATATATTATGTGTGTTACCTCAGACCTTCTTCCTAGGTGTACCGATTTTAATGATTCTTTTGTATTTGAAAGCTATAAATATATAAATTTGATCAATATCTGTAGTTTTTGAGTTATTCTTAATAATGCGTATTTAATTGACTTCCGCTACACTGATGATGTTCTCATTTTATTTATGTGTATTGAAATCGGTTGTACAAAATTTATAATTTTACTTGTTTTATAACATAAGGATGACAAAAGAGCACACATTCTACCTGATGGTGAGTGAATGCTGTGGCCTATAGACATCTACATATATCCTCGAATAAGAATCAAAATACAGATGCGTTGTAATACCTAAAGGCTAAGATGGAATGCCTCGTTTCCAGTAGAAAGCGTCTCCAGATCTCTACACTCACTTAACGAATCACAGCTCCGTTAAGCTGCTATTTAACCCTGGTATTCTGTGAGAGCATGGTCCTACACCGGCCACTACTACCATAACATAGCTGCAGCGTGGCTCTACCACGTAAATATATGAGTGAGCATATTTTTCTCCTTCTTCGTCTTCGTCTTCTTCCTCATCATCGCGTAATAGTTTATTACTGGGCATTCTATCTCACGTAAGGAGAATTCAGTCAGGCCTTGAACACCTCGCTTAGATGAGGGATTGACGATCGCAGTACCTGACGTCGCCGTTGCCCGTCATAAATCTGGGTATTTTATCATCACACCGCCATTGCTCGGAAGCCAAATTTTTGTGGCATTTTCTGGCTACCAGTGTTTAATATAGCAGATATATAATGGTTGCAGTACAAATAGGTCAGCTAGACCAAATAAGAACTACGCTCTC